AAAAAAAAGGCAAAAGCTACAGCCTTTCTCAGAACACATAAACCTAATATAGTAATTGTCATTTGTAATTAGACGACTGAAATTCTAGCTAAAACAAATTGAAACCCCAAGAGGCAGCAAGTCACCAACAGGTTAGTTGAACCTAAAAAACTTAATATGCAACAGACAAAACCCAATAGACACTTTCTATGTAAACTCCACCAAAACCCAATCTTTAAATGGCATAACCTTTGAACACCGACAGGCAGAGCAAACGTTACTACGTTAGCCCACCAAGGATTTCATTCAAGAACTCATTTTTCGAACAAATTTTATACAAAGATTTGAACTTTAACATAAACCTGCAAGCAAATTTCACATTTCTATGAAAAGAAAGAAAGATATAAGGAGAAAGAGCTCATCAGAAATTCCTAATATACTCTCAAGGGCTGCCCCAAAGAATCCAATCACTGTACCAACCACAATTTTCTAGCCAAGTTCCATATCCTGTAAATTCCCAATATGTAATAATCAATCAACTTGTCAACATTAACGAATAATTCAGCAACTGCTTATTTCACCAAGTTTTTTAAATTGAAATCACAGGTCACACATGTTTGGATAGTATGTTCATAATACTCTGCTGCACGAAGTTCATTATTTTTGTAAATTGACCTGACTCAAAATCTTCACATGTCCCCTTTCTTGTTATTACATATTAAGCTGAAATTGAAACGACATAGCATGATGCTAGAACAAATAAACCAGTAAAAAAAAATAGAAAAACGCTGAAGAAAAAAAAATAGATTGTCTCACCTTAATCAGAATAATGTCTCGACGGAAAATCTGGAGCTTTTCCATGGTGTTCGGGTGTAGAGAGACGATGGAATTACCATCGTTGGCTGCCTCCACTACAATTAGCAGATGAGCCGCCCTCTTCCTCTCCAAAGTTGCAAGGTCCACCGCCGCAATTGACCCTCTCCGTCGTAGTTCGTTGCGAACGTGACCTTGACGCCGCCTAAGACGTTCGATCCGCCTGCGTCGCCACCTCCCTTTCTCTGTATTTCCATCTGGCTTTCGAAATATTTTCCATGAACCGCTGCTCCTTAGGCGGTGAGAATTGGAAAATGAGAGGTTTGACAGGGCTTGTGTTGAGGGAAAGAAAAGAAATTAACTGCTCCCATCAAATCTCCAACCTCGCGTGTGCGGGAATTCCGCATGAAAGATGAAAAAGCCGAAAAAATTCAGTCAATTTGTATGCAACTCCAAACCTACACTGTTTTGCTATAAAAAAACGTAAAAAAATGAAATAATAATAATAATAATAAAAACGAAGCTGATGGACATAACTGTAAATAGGGGCCAACTACAGGGGCATTTCCGTCCAAAATGGCCAATGTAGGGGCATATTGGTAAGCAAAAAATTTACACGTGTCAAGCCTAGAACCCCTTACATTTTTTCTTATATGTAAGGGGGAGATATATATATATATATATACTAGATTTGCTCACGCCGTGCACGCACGGCGGCCTAACACCCCGTGTAAAACTACAGTAAAAATTTGTAGTGAAAGTTTGTTGTCTCTTGAATGATCAGCCGAATTTACACATATATTTTAAACATTGTTAACAAATTTGATAAAGATGGAATTTGAGTTGAATAAATATGGCAAAATTTGACTATCATAAACTGTCTGAACAGAGTTGTAATTATTGATAACAACAAAGTAGCCAACGGTTGGATGTACAAAGAAATTATCATCTTAACTTAAATTGCTATTTTTAAGATCTACTACTAAATTTAATACATGTGTAGTTTTAATTGCACGACAATCTAGCATAATAATTATCTCAATATTTACCCACAAATGTAAACGAACAAGTTGAAATGAATTAACATTCTTAGGATTTTGTTATTTTTGCTTCCAAGGCATCCTAAGAATTTTTTACTTTATTAATCATTTTTATTTTATCTAGATTAAAAGGACCAATTAAAAATTTTAATTGTAAAAAATTGGAAAAGTTGGTAACAGTTGCTTGACAACCTTGCTCAAAAAAATGTAAGACTAAAAAAAATGAGAATTTAAGTATGAAGTATTTTATTTCTTTTTAGGCTTCTTTTGTGCCTCCACCACTACCAACAAAAACTTAAAGTCAGACCAAAAAAATATTCACATGACTTAGCCTAATTTGTGAAGTTCATTTAGGCTTTGCCAACAAAGCAAAACATTATTTGTCCCACTACTGCCTGTTATCCGCCTTCCAAGAACGCATGTTGAGCGGCGAATTTAAGAGTCCTGTTTTTAAAGATAACTGATACATAGAAATAAGCAAAAACTTAGGGTAAATTATCCTCATTATCCCCATGTCCTAATAAAAGAACACTTGACTATGCAAAACATTGCATAAGTAACATCTGATCTATTATGAACCTTAAGAGTAAATGCTCGTCCATCAGGTAATAGAACAATCACAAATTTCTTGTCTTCTCTAACAACAACACTGCACATAGGATGACATGAACACATAGCAAGGAAACACATTGAGACAAATAAAGAGTAAAAATAGGTTATGCATATACATACCTCCCGGAAACATAAATATAAAAGAAACATAATACAAAGCGAAGCACCAACCTGGTACTCGATTAACGCACACTGCAAGACGTCCTTGACTATGGTTTCGACATTTTTTTTTACCTGCACCAAAATCTAAAAAAAAAAGATCAATGGAAGTTTTTCCATAAGTTTCAAGCTCTCATCATCCGTGGATTTCTTTCTTAAAAGCCC